TTCATCATTCACTTGGACTCCATCTCAGCCTGTCTGCAGAGCCTGTGAGCCCCAACCGAGCCCCAGAACTTCTTGACCCAGTCGTCCATGACAGTCTGAGAGTCGAGATGATGAGCACCTCTTCAGTAACATTCTGCATGTCGATCCAGACAGTGCTGTTCTCCGCCTCTGTGCACTTTGTCCACGAGGTCTTTTGGCCATCCAGTTGGGGACCAATGGGAGCTTGCCCGACGAGGTCAGTGTCATCCGGCGCGGGGGCAACATCGGTTCCTGAGTTGGCAATATTGGCCACCGCAAGAGTTTCTCCCCCCAACCCAAGGGCAGCAAACCAATCCGCCCCAGCACGGGTAACATATTTATCTTCCAGCAACAGAGTCTTCTGTGCGTCCTGGATTTTAGTGATAAATCGAGCAACATCCCGAGAGACAAATTTCTCGATTTCCTCGCGGGAAGCGTTCTCGAACCGCAAGGCGATGGCGGCCGAGAGCCAGCGAGCTGCCCTGAAGAAGCGCACATTCTTGAAATCGTGCTGATTCTCGCCAGGAAGTACAGCAGCTGCATCAAACAGTGCATGGGTCTCACCGAAGGCGTACTGGAGTTTTCGGTAGTACTCGTCAGCGACGCCGTCCATCTTGTCATGCCAGTAACGGCACTTGGCCCCGTCAGGCACCGGGAGGGCGAAAGCTTTGACGACCATTTGCGCGACAATTGCGGAAGAGGCGCGAAACTCGATGGCGTCAAATACGCGCTTGGCCTGGTCCTCGGTTGGCATCGGCTGCTTCAAGAAGTGGGCGTAAAGCTCACCCGTACAACCCCCGACCTTACGGCCCCAATCGCCCTGGTTGGTCGCTAGTTCGGTATTAATGAGATGAGTCAAGTGGAATAGCTGAGACTCCCTCGTGCCGCCAAAGGCTTCTCCGAGGAACTCGAACCGCTCCGGGTGGTTGATGGTAGGGCGGGTTGAGCCCCAGCGCTCAGCCCAGCGTTCGAAGCGAAGCCCCAGTCTTGGACCATATTCGGCCCATGTGTCCGAGAAAACAGAGGGGTCCCAGGCGGACTCAGGTCTAAGAATGAAGGCATGGTCTTGGGCAAAGGCCGAGAGCCGATGCTCCAATGACTCATGAATCTGACGCTGGAATCGATGGAGAGAGTCGGTCTGCAGCGCCGTGGGCCGAAGGGGCATCGGGTCGTCGTATGTGATGCGAGCGCGCTGAGAATCCGTCATCAGAGGCGAGTTTCTCTCAGTAAAGGAGCGGACGAAGCGCTTAGCAAAAGCACCGCCGGAGGATTTTGCAATGATGCGCATCATCTGGTCGGAACCAGGGCACACGACCGGGTTGATGGATCTGCATAGCCAGCCCCCGGTGAACGGAGAAGGAGTCAGGATCATGACTGGAAGCTGCACGTTGTTGGTAGCCTCGTTGACTGTGTGGTAGAGGCTGTCCACTGTCACGAAAATGCGCTTCTTGTCGAGGTCGAGACATATATCTTGCTCTGGTGTGACGGGGGCAAAGATCATGACGGTCAATACCGTCCCCCGCAAAACGGCAGCCTGGGCGCTCTTGGCTAGTTCCTGCGTGAACATAGCCTTGAAGTCCTTGTTATTGTTTGGCATAGTTTTGATGTCATCCTCGTGCGTGCCAATGATGCTATGGACCGTCTCGTCATCGGTGTTAACGCCGTCAATATTCTCGAGGAACTTTTGAATATTGAGCGAGCTAGCCCAGGTCTTAAGCGAGATACAGTCAGCACAAATCGATAGCTGGGAGCTGATAGTTTACATACCTGTGCTGTCTTCTCGCCGAGATCGTGGAACAGCAACTTCCAGTGCAGGAAGTCAGCAACCATCCAACCGTACTTGTTCTGGTCGGCATTCTCGGCTGAAATTCCACAGACACCGAGGATCTCAGCATCGCGAGGCAGATCCGGAGGGCCGTGCTTGGTGACAAAGTTAGCTATGGCTGGCCAAGTCTGATGGAATTCCAGAATTCGAGAATGTAATGGCTGTCCGGGGACGATGGCAGCTTGGACAAGGTCTTGAAGAGGGTATATCCAGAGTGGCACATACCAGAATGAGAGACGACTCGGACATGGCGGCCCGGAGCATTTGAAGCTCCTCGGGGCCGCCTTCCCAAGGGGCTTTGCGGACCGGCATGGTCGCTGGACTTGGTGTTAGCAACGGCACTTTAACGGAATAAGAGTTAACAAAAGCTAAGTCAGTATGAGAATACACACCTGGGAAGAGTGGTATCTATGAGATTTACTTGTAGAATATCTAGTCGATAATTTGATGGTTGTTGACTGTGAACCCGGGAGATCGGTTGAGATCGGTTGACCTCGAACCGCGATGAAGAAGGCGGGGCTCTGCAGTGAGAGAGAATTCCGGAAAGAAACCGGAAGGCACAACAGAAATAAATAGTGCACTCGACCCAGAAGGTGCAGGAAGGGCCAAATATTCCGGAGCCCTTGAGAACAAACAGGAGCGGGTCACGACTCAACAGGAGGAGAGAGCCACGACCGTGGCAGGCACACGTCGAGGGGTGTGGTTAATAAAATAATTTTTCTTGAAGCACCAGCCAGAGGCAGCCTTGAACGCGTCATGCAACAGGATAAAATCTTGACAGCTATTCCAGATTCACGGTTGGAAATGGGCAGTGGAAGGGGTTATATTCACTATTTTCCCCATTGTTTTGTTGAAAAAGGGGTAAGCCAGGAGGTATTCACCAGCCCACAATTCACAACCAAATGAGTTAAAGGGCTTGGTTTCCATTAAAAGTTTAATGATTACTCTCTTTAACTTGACTCATTTCAAAATTTCATCCAACCTCAAAGTTCGCGTTCCAAGTACTAAATTCATCCAAGAAACCAGCTGCACCATGGTCCGCCACACACGCGTCTCCCACTTTGGCGTTGGGATAGCACGTCAATAACATGAAATCGGGATTTGAATATTGCTAAAATATGTGCAGGTTAAACCTTTTGTCAAAACCTCTTTGACCGTCAACAACACCAACCACTCTTGTGTTGAGTCTAGAGGGGGGGAATCCACCCACCATCAGGTTTTATATACTTTTGCTTTCCACCGAGTTGTTCGGGAATTTGAACTGGGCTAGAACCAGTCTCGCCCATAAAATCTACATCGGATATGAAAGGACAGCCTCCCATTGAAAGGGGATTCTACAAGATACAGCCAGCAAAGACCACAACTCAGGGGAGTCAGCAACCACCATGCAGACATGTGCACGCCCAGTAACATATCAGCGATCAACAGCGAAAAGTAAGATGGATAATTCAGTGATCAATCAAGCCATCCTAGCTATGCCATGGGGTATATGCCTCCCAACCTAATGTCCCGCCATCCCAAGCAGCAATTTGTCTACTCATACAAAATCCATACCCCCCACGGAGCACCCACCTCCCCATTCACATTTTCTCAAACCGCTCCCTCGCCCTCTCCTTCGTCTTCTGCACGAACGCGCCAAAATCCCCCCGCGTATTCCTCGCCGCCTCCTCGCTCGCATCACCCAGCTTCCCCCCCTCCGCACCCAGCCCAACGCCGGGAGCATACACCTCGGTGGCGACCGCCTCCGTGCGCCCGGCACCCTCGGCGCCCAGCCCGGCCCCCGCCGTCCAGCCCATCTTGGCCAGCATGCCAGCGCCCTTGGACTTCTTCGCTGCGGGCTCGCTCCCGCCGCCGTCTCGATCGTCGGTTTTTTCGGTGGGCTCCTTGCGCTTCTCGGGGACTGAGGCGGCAGTGGCGGCGGCAGAGGAGGATGATGTGGCGGTGGTGGTGGTGGTGGTGGCGGTGGGTTGTTTTGGTTGGCCGAACGCGCGCCTGCGTTCGAGAGCACGGTCGCGGTATTGCGGCTGCAGGAAGCGTACGCGCTGCACTTCCCAGAGACGCTTGAAGTCCGCGTCTGGCTCGACGATCCCGCATCTTCTTGCCCATTTGTTCGAACTCGCCAGCGGCGCGGGGCGCGGTTCTGGGGGGCTCGCCAGCATGCGTTTGTGTAGTTCCGCTTCTGTTGTTCGTGCAGCCAGACCGAGCCTCGCGTGTCTTGAAGTATGCGTTTTGCAGAGGGAGGCAGCGCAGCCCGATCCCAGTCCGGCATAGGACTTGTAGACGGGAAGGTGGCTCCGACTTCAGCCGTGGGGGTGGCGGCGGACGATGGTGCGGGGTTCCTTGCCCAAAGCGCTAAGGGCCGCGGCAGCCTTTTTCTTGACTCGATCGTCCTGGTAGAAACGGTGGGTGCGCCCTTCGTGCTCAATGAGCAGGTCGCCCCGGGCCTGGGGCCCAGCCACGCTCGTCTATGTGCGCTTGGGTTGGCGCTCCCCAGCCGCATGCGAGACAGGTCAAAGGTGTCCCAGTCGGCGTAGGAGAGGTACTGGTCGTTCGTTTGTGGGGCGACCGGGCCGTCTGGCTGGGCATCCTCGGCCTCGCGGACAGGGCCGCGAACCAGAGATGACGTGACCTCTTCGGGCTCTTGGGCGGAGGGCGTAGTCGCGTCGGCCGCCGGTTTAGCGCCGTGCAGCTGCGCCGACGCCTTCGCCCACAGCTGCACTTGTGGCATCATGGCCACCTTGGCAACGGGGGCGGGTTCCTTGGTACCCTTGGCCTTTTTTACGGGCTTCGCAGATTTGGTGGCCTCATCAGCGTTGCCGCCGGGCTGGTCGGGGCTCGGCGCGCCGGGGAGGGGGTCGGTCGAGACGATGCGGGCACTGGGATAGGCGCGTTCATCCCAGTACTTGACACGCACGGCGGAGTTGTAAATGGGGGTGAATGAGAATTCCTGATTCTCCGTCGCCGTGGTGTCGAAAGCGGGAATGAACACGCCAGTATGGATGAAAGCCACCACGACGGGTGAGGACGCAATCGTAAATCTCGTGGAGGCTCGGAATTTAGCGACGGCGGCCATGGCGTCCTCAACCGTGGCAAACTCGGCGAAGCCGTACCTCCAAGACTCATTGGTCTTGCGGTCGCGCATCAGGAACACGCGGCGGAGCGAGCCGGATTTCGCTCCGAGACCAACCGTGCTGTTTGTTGGCGCTGTCGATTTGAGTTTGTTGACGGTGGTGGGGGCTTCCTTTGCGGGCTTTGGGTCGTCAACAAACAGCTTCATGACGCCTTTGGCTAGGACTTCCTCGGTGACGGATCCCTCAAGGTCCCGGATGACGACATATTGGGATGGGGTTTGTTGGAGACACTCATCCGTCTCGCCAGTTAAGAAAGGGCCTGAAGCGCCGAAATCGTCTTCTGCTCAGGTCAACAACCCCATGTTCCGTCGGCGTCCGGATATCCGTAGCACTTACCAGGTCGCTCGGCTTTACATTTGAAACAAACAGCTCGGTGGGGGTAATTCATAACACCGCACTTGGATTGTCAGTAAATTCAGTCTATTATTAAGTGAGCTACATACATTGATGCAGTCCCAACCGTCATCGTCTCTACGCGAGCCGCGAGATGAGTCTACCTCGTCACGGTCCTCTGCGGCCATGATTTCTACTGTAATGGGTTCGGAATCAAGGCCGCGAGAATGCTCAAGGCGAAAGGTAATATCGGGGTAGTACCGGTCAAGGAAGTCTTCAGCCTCCAATCGACGATGAAATTCGACGAAAGCAAAGCGAACACCTAAAGGAGCCGAGTGAGCAAAGAAGGGAAGGGCCACAATGGATGGGAGAGACCCGAGATAACTAACCATCGTAGTTGTGGCGAAGCCGAGCGACCCTTACCTTGTCGCTCGAGAAGTGACGGTCTCTAGTAACGTAATCTAGGCCGTAGAGGATGTCACGTTCGGTGGCATCCTCAGGCAAACTGTTTATAAGAATGACCCGGCCCAGAGTCACCCAGTTGTCGGCGATCCAGGTGGCGTCTATCGTGATGATGTATAGGCACACGAACATCAGGAACGGCGCTCCGATATCTGCCAGAACCGCGAAGAGGATGGGTATCAACAGTGCCGGCTTGAGGGGGGTGTTGCCCCAGACGCGATCCGGCTGGAAGTCTTCCATCTCGGTTCGAATGATCCGCGCTATCAGGGCCGCCGAGGAAAGAGTTACGGCGATACGTCTCATCCATGGATGCATATCGCGGAGGTCGAATATCATGTAAATCAGGACGTAGGCCATGACCGTGGAGATCATCCAGCCCACGAGACCGAGAAAGCGAAGCATCATGGTAATGATTGGGGTTATCGTCGGTCTTCAAGTAGTAACGACGGCCTGGGGCGGTTCCAGAGTAGTCGTCAGCAGCCTCGCTGTCGTCGTAATTCAAGTCTTTCGGAAGATCTGGGGAATCTTTGCGGCGGGAGACGAGACGCCCAAGTTAGCCATTTCCAGTTCGAGCAGCAACCGCAAAGCACTCAAACAATGTCATGGCCAAGGTTCATCGTGCAGGCTATAGTACCCTTCCTCGACCGACGGTAGCCGCCATCTCTATTGTCGGAGTGGCGCGCATGAGGGCTGCGGCTCCGGCTGCGGTTGCGACGGTCGCGATGTCGATCGCGTGAGCTGCCGCCATCTCGTGACGCGGGGCGATGTCCGCCTTGGTACATGGAGAGAATCGCAATGCAAAGCAGGGTAAGGCAAAAAAAGAAGGGGCAATGCAAGAAAGGGGTGCCAGAAGATGCAATTGGATTCTCCTCTAGATGCGATTCGAGGGCGTCTGGCTGGGTGAAAGCATTGGAGTCGAGCGATCTTGAAGCCAAACAGGCAGGAGTGGGAAACAAAAGTGGAAGCTCACCCTTGTTTCCCAAGCCGTACAAGTAAATTCACACCTGTTACAATGGCCGAAGATCTGCCGGTAAGCGAGCGAGTCAGATTAAACGGGGTTGATGATGGATCGCTCTTATCGACGTCAATTGAGGGTTGAACTTTGAAGCGGGAGAAAATTGATGTAGAGAGGCAGAGTTTGCAGTGATTGATTTTGAACAAGAGCAGAGAAGGGGTCCAGGCAACAGATCACGAGAAAGTCACGGGCAGGTCACAGGCAAGGCACACGACCTTTTGCCTTGACCCAACGCTGCTTAGTCCTCCTGCCTGCAGGCAATTGCTCACTCATTTTCACTCTTAAATCCCCATTCACACACCCTTTGCTCACAGCCTCAGACACGACGGGCTTGACGGGTTCTTGGCTTAATATCTGTCTGTGGTGGAGGACAACAACTCGGTGAATCCAGCACCATATTTCCAGAGCTTATCTTCAAATTATACCCCCGGCCATCGAGGACTCGACTTGACTCGGCCGAATTCGGACAATCAAACAAAGCAGTGCACTCGACCCTCGAGCCCAACATATACCCTACCTGATCCCCGACCTTCATCATAGCACACACCGAGAAGAAGCTCCCCACATCATCCTTCTCCTCCTCCTCCTCCTCATCATCATCATCGTCATCATCTTCTCATCATCATCATCATCATGGCCACCCCACCCACCGAACCCCAAGAGGATTCCTCGCTCTCCCAAGAAGGCTGCTACGTCGCTCTGACCTCCTCCCCCCTCAGCATACAATCCGTGACCGACCGCGTGCGCTCCCCACAAGCAGGCGCCATTGTCCTCTTCGCCGGTTCGCCAACCCCCCCTCCCCTCCCATCCCCAACCCCCAACCCACCAACTAACCCCCCCTTCAGGAACAACACGGGACACCTTCGCCTCCAAACGCGTCACGCACCTCTCCTACAGCGCCTACACCCCCCTCGCCCTGCGCACGATGCTCAGCATCGCCGCCGAGCTCCACACCACCCACAACCTACGAGGCATCGCGATGGTGCACCGGCTCGGGGGAGGTGCCCGTCGGGGAGGAGAGCATCCTGATCGCGGTGTCGGCGGCGCACCGGCAGGCGGCGTGGCCGGGCGGGGGAGGCGGCGCTGGAGGCGTGTAAAGAGAGGGTGGAGGTGTGGAAGCGGGAGGAGTTTGCGGATGGGGAGGGGGTGTGGCGGGCGAATCGGGATGGGGTGAGGGGGGAGAGGGTGGGGTGAGGGAGGGAGGGGATATTTATATATTTGTATATGTGATGCTTGTTTGTTTTTTGTTTGTTTTGGGTTTTGGATGGGGGGGGGGGGGGAGTTCGGGTGAGTAGGTTATGATGCTGTGGACTGTGCTACCGGCGGGATGTATGTACCACTGTTTTGGTCATCGCGTTCACTTGGACGCATCTATACCACACTCTATGTATCCCCAATTGCTGTGGAAGTGTAACAGTAACACTCAATTTTTCCCAACACAAAGTTCTGGTTCTAGAAGGGAACTGGCACGAGAACTCTCTTCGATTACTGCTAAAAGTAACTAGAAGGCCATCCACCATCTTGCTCTGTCTGATCTCAGTCCACAAGGCATCTAAGGGACACTCGAAATCGATATTTGACTGAAGACATCCATCCCATCATGCACCTCTCACTCCCTCGTCTTTCCCTGACAAACAACCCTCCTTGACCGAGACTGAGACATGGTTGAAACTGAGCCTTGGATCCCAACAAGAGACACACGGCACACCGATGGATAAATCATACGAAACTCCCAACACCACTGCTGGTACAACCCGCTCATTTGCCGCAAGGGAACAACCCCCTACCACCGGACGAACATGGTCGGCTCGCTGCCCATCTTCGATAACCAAAAAATAGAGAGACACCCCTTGCAAAAAAGTACATCCAAAAATACCCATGCCACGACAAAGTTAGATCCCGTTCCCAAACTCCCAGACTCCGTCCGCGTTTAAATTCCAGAACCACCATTTCAACACCAGCCGCTCTTCTCATCAAGGCCAGGTACTCGGCCCAAACGTCTCTCCCCGGCGGCAAGGGGATCTGCACCGCCTGGTTCAGCATGTCCATGGTCCTCAGGGCAGCCGTGTTCCCGAACCAGGCTGGGGCCTCGGTGCCGCTGAGGTACAGTGCAAAGAAGATGACGAGGGTCGAGACGATGAGGCCGCAGTCGAGGGCCGACGAGGTGACGTAGTTGTACTGCAGCCACCAGCCGGTGCGGCGGCGGCGGATGAAGAAGTTGAAGACGGTCCCGACGATGCCCCAGCAGTAATAGATGAAGACGGTCGCGGGCGGCAGCATGCCCGAGCCGCCAAAGATGAGCGGCATGTTGACGTAGCGCCAAATACCGCGCTGGTAACGCCGGGCGAGGAACCACGTGATAACGGGCGAGACGGCGCCGACGAGCCAGAACCACTGCAGCGAGCTGTAGAGGGCCTGGCCTGAGAACATGCGGGCGGGGCCGATGGCGCCCCAGATGATGGAGGCCGTGTAGAAGACGCGGGCGCTTGGGCAATTCCACTGATGGACCTGGGTCTCGGAGCAAACGTCAGGGATCGTATCCAGTGCCCAGTTCATGACGGCGATCTGCACGATGGCCGACCAGATGGACGCGATCAGCTGCGACCAGAACATGACGCGCGGCGGGACCTTCATGTAGTGACCGAGCTTCAGGTCCTGGACGAAGTACAGCGCCTGCGACATGCAGAGGTACCCGTAGTTTTTGAACATCATCATGGCGAGGGGGCGGCCGGGGAGCATGTAGCCGACGATGAACTCGGTCAGGACGTTCAGGCCAAGCTGGGTGTTGGTGATGGCCTGCACGATGCCGATGGGAATCGTCCACACCAACGGAATCAGGATACAGACGATGTACGCCCACCAGGGGAAGTTGGTGTCCCAGGCACAGACGACGGCGAAGGAGAGGCCGAGCATGACGACGAAGAGCACGGTGTACCACCAGTCCTCGGCATCGCGATACTTCTTCATCAACCGCATGTGGACATCATCCTCCTGCGACCGGGCCAACTTCCACTGCGTCCAAATCTCGCGGCCGTGATAAAGTGCGACATGGGTAATGACGGCGGTGATGGCGGCAAAGGAGAGACCGTAGGCAAGCGCGAATTGCGTCGGAAGGTAGAGGGGCGAATACGCGTTGTACTTAGCCTCGTCGAACTGCATATCGTCGCCCAGAATCGCCGACACGTTGTACAGGCGCCCGGTGTTGTCGTATGCGTGCGAGTTTTGGACTGGTAAGTAAGCCGAGTACCACATACCCGAGTAGTGGATTCCAAGCGAGATGACAACGAAGAAGGCCGTGATGCCTCCCAGCACGTTGGCAATGGCGTGGAAGGGCGGAATGAGCGGGGACATCAGATAGCCGGAGATGATACTCCAATCCTAAAAAAATCAGCAACGTCACCATCAGAGAGCAATATAACCCATGCTTACCAAAGTCATAGGGAGTAGGCCATAGCCGCTGTAGCCACCAAAGAGCTGGTTGACAACGACGTTTTCAGGCCAGATCCAGGTGAGCCAGCAGAACCACGACAGTCCCATGAATAGATAGCCTGGGAACCAATACCACAGGAACGAACCCGAGAAAACAAGCATGAACCACTTGTAACGGCTGATGCTCCAACCGTTCGCCCGGGCTGGGTCGGTGGGAGAGTGGTCGTGGAGGGTGTAGAAGAGCGCACAGTTGACCAGATCAGTCGGCCAGATCATGGCTGCGGGCCAAACAAGAAATCTCCTTGCCAGGCCAGCCAGCCCATAGCCCGTGCATAGCGTCGTGATACCGAACAATAGCTGCCATGCCCAACCAAAATCCTGTTTATACCACATCCGCTGCGCGATAATGACATCGGTGGCATACAGGGCACCACCGCCATAGGCAGCCTGAGAAGGGTCAGCAATTATACTGGTGGCACTATCCGGCCGGACGTACGTTTGACATGATCACTATAATGACGTGCTCCTTGAAGTTGAACGGCCCTGGCTTGAAGTTGAATTTGAGACCCCAGACATTGAATACTCGGTCGGGGAAGACGAGGTCCCACGCGAGTCCGATGGGGTAGGCGATAAGTTGGATAACAAAAGTCGTGAGCGAGATGCTCGGGTTCCTCAGCGACAAGATCATGTTTATGGCGGACCCAATAGTGCAGAGAAACATGCCGATTGTCCATGCACGTATCGTATTTACCGGCATATCAACGTCGAAATTCCGGACCGTGGCTCGCACCTTGAGAAGAAGCGGATGTTAGAACACGCATGTCACCTTTTCCTCCCGAGCCCACCACTCCCGAAACTGGGGAAGCAGGCAGGCAAATATCGAAATCTCACTTCTGGGTATGGCGAGTTATCCTCGGCTAGGATCTGCTCGATCTCGGCTCCCTTCTCGACATTGTCCGTGTTCAACGCATTGTCGACCTCCTCCAGTTCATCCAAGGGCAGGTTCGGGTCGAATCGGTGCATCTTCTCGAATTGCTTTAGTGATGCGAAGCCGGTCGAGTCGCCCTCCATTGATCCATCCATGTCTGGTACCACATTCTCCTCTTCCCGCCGCCGTCGGAGAGACTTGAGAAACCTCAACGCCATTTTGCCGGATTTGTTCTCCTAGCCGCAGGCAAGGCCGGGCCCGCTCGTGCTTTTCGGCGCGGCAAGGCCGGGCAGGAGAGCTCGGTCAAGCAGCAATCGGTGCAGTCGTGTCGGTCGTCACGGTTGTCGCAATCGTCGCGCGATCGTCCGATCTTGGGGTGTTCGGATGAAAATGACGGAGCCGGGAGGGGATCAGGCGACAGGTACAGCGCAGCTAAGACAAGGGGCGGTTAATGTCTGTTGAGCGTGGACATGGCCGTCTTGCGCGCTCGGCGCAGATCGCTGAGCGGGGGGCTTGGGGTTGACGGACTGGAATGCGAAAGATTCCGAAAGGGGAGAGAGGCAGAAGAGGCGCGAGGGGATCTGGTGGATTTCTACGTCGGCTCCGACTTTGGGACCGGGCAATGGCGCTGGGTCTCAGGTTGTCTCTCAGCGGGCGCTAGGGGTCGCCTTGGTGGACGGATGGGAGAAGGCCTGGGAGGGGCCCTGTTCTGGAAGAGCACGCAAACCAGCCAGCCAGTATCACGGAAAGATGCAGCCCCCAGCAAAGTTAATTGCTGACCTGCCTAAATTGGTTTGATGGCTGGGCGATGGGTCGAATTCCCGATGGAGGGAACAGGGAACCGCAGGGATTGAAGCGGGGGCTGGCCCGCCCAGAGGTCTGGGGCGCAGGTTGACCGTTTGCATACCTCGAGAACATCGCGATCCGTCCCGCTATGATGCGATAAATTCTCATGCGTGTTGTCCTGGTCCGTGGGAGTGATCGCCCGCTTCGTTCGCAGCAGCGTTGGGAACTCGCAGCCCACCCTCGAGGCGATCCGATCAATGTCGGGCTCCCCCGGAAGGATCTCCATTTCTGAATCAGGAACAGAACGGTCGGGAGTCCGCAAAACGGCGCTACAAAAACGCCTCCACATGCCACCCCGGCGCTCGCCACCGGGGCTGATGTGGAATCAGCTGCATGCCAATGTCTCGGCCAATGGCATGGACGCCCTGCCCTTCCTCGCAGCTATCTGGACCCTTTGATGTCTCTTATCATTTGTCTCCATAGGTCGAGTTACTGTTGAAGATAGGAATGCCGAACGGCGTCTCAGCTGATAGGGGTATTGACTGGAAACCGGCAGCTCCCTGGATTCCCAGTTATTATCACAATAGTTCTCTTTGTTGTCAAAAAAGCCATGGCAGCATGGTCATGAGGTTAGCTGGCCGGTATGCGGGGCATGCCTGGCTCGAGTCTTGATGGCCGAATTGATGGTCCCTTGTGCCGTTTGGCTCAACCAAGGTCTGGGGTTCCGGAGCAGGGAGTGCCGAGTCGAAATCTGCTTGGGGTTGGCGACTTCCGTTACGTAACGGAGCTGCTCGCCAACTCGTCCCAACAACGAAGGAAGGACAATTGGATTACAGGTTCCAAAAGACAATTACTGGGCAAAAGTAAGGAATTTTAGTGAGTCAATCGCCAGAAATTTGAAGCAGTCTATCTCATTCCAAGGAAGAAGCTACAGCGGGCATGAGAGGAAGCCGCGGTTTCCGCATTGGGGCGCTGGCCAAACCCCGTGTCCCGTTTGACCTGTGCCTCCCATCCAGTGTTTTCCGAAGCCTAGTCTTCTTCAATTCGACACCGAGACTCTGAAGCCGGGACAATGCAGCTAAGGCTATTGGATGCGACACAGGCGTTTTATTCGACGAATCGAACACCTTGAAATTTACGGAAGCACTTGGGGACGACGAACTAAGAACCTCTTCCACACCACTCCGCGCCCAGCTTCCGTTTGCTTTGGTGTCTTTCTCTGTCCTGGAGCCGAGATCTGGGCATGGCGTGGCATGGCATGGCACGGGGGAGAGGAAGCATCTGGTCCGTACCATCTCTTCTCAACAACTGGCAACCATCCTTTTGTGAGCTGAAAGAAGGCGGGGGTTTTGAGAGCGAACCCGCTAGATCTGTGTCCGATGCCTTCTCAGCCGCGGACACCTTGATCTGGCCTCGGCTTCGTATCCGACAGACATGAGTGTTCAATATCGCCCCGTCCCGGCGCTCTTAAGATCGTGGTCGTCCGCACATTAAATAGTATTGGGGTAGATAGCGTCCCAGCTTCCCGGCCGCGGACTCGCCAAGCGGCGTGGACGGCACACACGGCCCCACGAAAATAGCAGCGCATAAATTGGGCCACCTCCCGGCTATTTGTAGTAGATTATCCCTGCTACCACAGCAGATACCATTGCCGGAGACACAGAGAGCTTGGTATTAACCTTAGTTTACGGCCTGCCGCAGAACCGGGGTCTCAGACTTTCTAGGATATACCTGAACTTTCTTCGGACGGCACTGTATACTTTTGACGGCCGCCCTCGCCCAGGACGGTCTGGGTTTGCCCAGAAACCTCTTGCCGACCGAGTTTTACTCTCTATCTCCGTTTTGGGAATTGTGTGATGCCAAGCGGCTGAGGGTGTCTGCAAAGTCACCACCGCGGCGCTGTGAAGTGGATGGCAATATAGATACGCCAACCAGAATCAGTCACGCTGCTCGCTTAGATTCTCGAAGGAGCTTCACGGCTCACGACAATCTGAACCAAAAGATGTTGAAAATCTCGTTTGCTGGGTCAAAACGCAGACGACTAGAGTAGTCATTCTACATCGCTCGCAAACACGGGAGAGTTGTCGTAAATACCGATGATTCACACTGGTCGACAAAAAAGTTAAATCGGAAACTCTCTTTCTTACACATCAATGTAGACGACGTGGCAGGCCTGGCGGTGGATTTTGGCGATCCACTCGGCAGAATTGGGAAGGCGTTGGTGGATGGTGGCGGACAGGAAGAACATATACTGACCTTGTCCGGGAAGGAAGGATGATGGTTTCCTCCCAAACGACAACCGGCCAGTGCTTGTTGGCGATCAAACGAATGACAATGATGTCAGACGTGAGCTTCGAGTCCCCAGTAAGAGACCAAAACCGGTGGATGTAGATCGGGGCGATTTAGAAAGTGGCAACAGCAAACCCATTTGTCCTCATCAACCACTGTTGTGTGACTTTGTGCTCGATTTCGACCGAGCTTGCCTGCATCCGTTCCGAACCCCGAACTACCCGTTGCGCCTATTCGCCCGAGCGTCGCACCTCGCGGCGATTTCAACACCGTCAAGCTGAATGTAAGTGATCCCCGGTGCAAAAAGAAAAAGGAATGGGGCTTGGCCGGGGAATTGAACCCGGGACCTCCTCGCAAGCTAAGCTATAGGGTTTACCCTAAGCGAGAATCATACCACTAGACCACCAAGCCAATCAGGGTGACTGGGTTCAGGAGCTCAAAGCTTTTGTTTATATTCGCTAGGGAATGAGAACGACGCATGAAAAGGTATCCTGAATTTTTCACAAAATTCACACACAATTCACCACTCTGAGAAAATACCCCGTCCCTCTCACAGACGCTTAAGAACATCATGTTACCTTCATTGACAAGCAAAAAGCTAGAGCCTATTCTAAGAATATTTCCAAAATATTTCCCCCAACTCAATTCCACACCTCTAATACTTCTGACTCTATACCTCGCCTTGTCTATCCCTTCTGTCTCACAGTTATCTATATACACTCTCCCCGTTCCACCTTAAAGTTCACCGAACTATCCCAACATCACTTCATCTCCTCCCCCACCGGCCCCTTCTCCCACCCCTCCTTCTTCAACGCCCACTTCACCGCCGCCATCACATCATCCACCACCACCTTGGGCTCAAACACCCCCTCCAACTTCCCACCCCTTTCCGCACTCCACACCCCCGTCCTCACCAACACCGACACCCACTCCGCCCCCCCTTCACTACGATACCCATTCGCCCCCGCAATATCACTCTCCGGGATTTATCCCCCACCATATACACCTTCCTCAACGCCCCCACCCCACTCCCACTACTCCCACTCAAACTTAAACCCAAACCCAAACCCCCATCCCCCCCCACAGCACCCCTAGTCAAAACCCTCTCCGCCCACCGATACGTCTCCCGATACGGCTTCCCAATACTCACCCTTCGCAACTCCGCCCCGCCCGTAATCCGTCGCCACAGCCCCGCCACGGCGGCCTGGAACGCGCCCTGGCCCAGCCGGGGCAGGTGGTAGCCGGCGCTCCAGAGCAGGTCCGCGTTGCTGAAGTAGAGGGGGGGTTGGGCGTCGTTTTGCCAACCTCCTTGACCTTTATGGGCTTCTTTGGGGTGCGTTGGGGTGGTGGTGGTGGTGTGGGTGGTGTGGTTGAGTGGGGAGTAGGTGCCGAGGTAGCCGGCGTGGGAGAGGAGGAGGTCGGTGATGATTTGTAGGTCGAGGGCCCAGTCGCGGGGGTCGTTGAGGACGAAGATGGCGTCGATTTTGAGGTGGGAGGTGAGGGTGGCGGGGTTGAGGATGGGGCCTGGGTGGGAGTAGAGGGGTTTGGGGAGGGGTTGGGAAGGGGGGTGGTGTAGGGAGAGGGGGATTGGAAGGGGAAGATGGTTGGGTCGGTCGGCGTAGATGTCGGCCGGGGGTGATGACGTTTCTGGAAGCCATATCTGGTGGGTAGTTAGGATTGGGTTTGTGCTGGAAGGTGGCGGGGACGGTAGACTTACTCCTTGAAGATGGTGCGGCATTTCTCGTAGTCGGACCCCGTTACCAGGACGGTCTTGTCCCGCAGGCTGTTCGGTCCCTCGAGCAGCTCCTGGAAGGGCGTGTGGGACTGAACGAAGTTATCTGTCGATAGTTCCACGCCGAGTCTCGCCTCGAGGTCCTTGACTCTCTCCGTCTCGTGCTTGCCGCCACCGTTGGTGAGCAAAATGAAAGGGATATTGTTATCGTTCAGGAATTTGAGGACCTTGGTGGCCCCAGGGATCGGCTTGGCGACATGAAGCAGAACACCATCGATGCTGCGCGAGTGTCAGCAATTCCTCCTCTTAACCTTCTTAGGGTCCCCAAAGCCAGGTACATGAGAAGACTTACTCAAAGGCAAACGCGAAAGAAGGCGGTTCCCGCAACGAGCCCTCGACCCTGACGTTGTTCTTAAAACCCCTCGTTAACGCGGCCTCTCGTCGCCTCCGTCCTAGCTCAGCGGGAGCTCGAGCCCGCCTCGCACCTGCGACAAAGCTGGATGAGAATCTCAGGCCGCCTGTTAGACAGGTGGAGGGTATAGTCCCAGCCCGTAATGGCAATGAAGTTGCCAATCCCCGGAGGGAAGTCCTGGGCGATGTTAGCAAGAGACATGATGAAAATCTTCATCAGGGATTTAGTCCCAGTAACGGATGAGAACGATGGAGTGAGTATCCCCCTACGGAAAATAATTAAAAAATCCTTGAAAAACATACCTAGAAAAAGGAACCGCAACACTCGCCATTTTTCACGCCGTCTCCTTCCTTCCCTAGGCCTCGTAATAATCCGAGAGTGAGACCCCCGACCGATTCAGAGGGTACGCTTGACTTTAATGCAAATGTTGTAACTTTTGGGTATTACGAGACTGAGAATTTCGAGTCAACTCAAGAAAAAATACTTTCCGTTGTTCTCGGGCGTGTGATGAAGCTTGCCGTTGCCGTCGTCGTTGCCGCCCACCCATTCGGCAAAAGTGACTGGCGACCTAACAGTGGAGTGAATACAGGGGCCCGGCCTGGCCGGGGTCACCGACCCCACCTTGTTTCTCGAGGGGGTCACCAGATCCGACTCGCACCAGACGAACACGAACAGGGAAAGACACTGTAAGGGAGACATGTGAATCGTCATCGATGACATGGGTTTCCCGGCCTCAGAGACATGAATTGGGTGGTGGATAAATAAATATAGAAATGCGGTTCATCAGTTAACTACAGTCTCTCACACAGCTGGGTTCATTTATTCCTCGCCATCCTCACCTCGAGAGACCTGGGGGCATGCGAACGAGCCCGACAACTGAGTCCAGGCCACCCCTCCCGTCACATATCAATCAACTTGGTAGCCGGCATGCTGCATGCAACACTTCCTCAACCAGGACCCCAGCTCTCCTCTCACTGGAACGCACCAAGCCACGACATTCTCAACCTAAACTGCGCATGCCAAATCGTTCCATTCATTCCATCAAGTTCCCTACAAGTACAACAAGGCATCCCCGATTCCTTCCACCCTGGTTTTCCCGGTTGCATTCCTGCCAGAAGGAGAGAAAGCCCCCCCTCCCACGTCCCGCGACTCAGCGTTGCTCGCCACAAACCACAAACAACAAAACCACACACCTCCCCCAGACCTCCACATTACGATTACCCTCGCTATCCCGCCTCCTCCGCGCCCCTCGCAACGCTTCGCCGCAAAACAAAAAGGAAAAACCCAACCGGCCATCCAGAAGAGTGTCGAACGAGCAGGAACCGGGATCCGCCCGATCGTGGTGTTTCGAACAAGTCAAAGTAGGACATGCCAAGCCGTGCCGATGTCGTCTATCCGTTCCGATTCATGAAACAAGGCGTTCTTATCCATCATGGCCACTCCAACGGTCCCCCAATATTCAATATCGAACTTTTGGGCCCCCCCTCCTCTTCACGCTCCGGCCGGGTCTCACATGAAGCGTGCCCCGCAAAAGGGGGAGCTTGATGCCAGCAACAGACCTCGAAACGCGGAAAAGTCCAATAAAAGGGGGGGTAGATAAAGAGAGGTGAGAAAAGAAACAATGAATGCATCCCCCAAGCCAACCCCCCTTTCCTCTCATGAGAGAAACGCCGCGCCCAAAAAAACAGCAACAAAAATCGAAACATGAGATCAAAACACACAAATGCCGTGAAGAATCCGAAGTCGTAATGGCAAACACATGTCGTCCGTCATCTGTCATCTGCATTATCTACCGGGGCGCTGGATTCAGCGTCGGTGCAGCCCGGAAAGAAAACACGAAACCCGAGGGGTCCCACGCGGTCGGGCAACGTCGTCTCGAAAAGAGATGTTTCCCAAGAAGCCTCGCGGGCCCATGGTCAACCGGGCCATGGGGGGTCTGGATTTGAGCTGGCCGACCTCGCCCAGGAAAGAGAAGAAGAGAGGCAAAATGCCCGAGAAACGTTGACGCATATGCCGAACCAAAGCAAGCCGCCTGCCGATATGTTATGCAACCCGAAACGCATCCAGGCCCGATCCGCCGAGAGAGGAAAAAGTCTAAGCCGACAAGATGTAAGTCGTGATTTACTGAACCGTTTGTCATTTTATCATGGTGTCGTACTGGTTGGTGCCCCGGTCGATGGCCTATCGTACCCGGTCCCTGTTGCTGGAAAGTCCGCACACGCACACGCACACGCACAAGCCCGCCAGTCGTAGTCAAGCGGCTACTCAGGCACGGCTCACGTGGCTGACCGACGTGCGGCTTCGCTCGTCCTCCTCTATGACATCGCTGAGCCTGGTGGGGTGGTGGTGTCGGGGCAGTTGCTCCCAGCCAGGTGCGGCAAAGCCTTGGCCGGCGTACTCGGCTGCACCTAGTTGTGCTCCTGGCTGGGCACCCGCCTGCGTGCCCGCCCAGTGTGAGCTGGATGGAGGGTAGCTGGTCGGTGGCTGCGGCGCCGGAGTCTCATAATCCTCAGCGCCAGCATCCGATCTTCTTGCGCGGCTCGGCGATGTGGAGGGGCTGTGGTACGGAATTCTGTTGCCGTGCTCGTCCATCAGGTAATTCCCCCTCGCATCAATCATATATTCACCTTCGCTATACCCTGCTTCGGACTCCGCACCGTAGTCGCCTGCGTCGTTGCCGGCGGTCTCGGCCTGCTGGTAGTACCTACTTTGGTCGCCGGCTGAAGCTGGTGACTGTGGCACGGCATTGGCGGGAGCAGCCGAAGAGGGCGGCTGGGGCGCAGAGGTATAGGCCGGGTATTGATTTCCTTGGCCGGCCATGTAGTCCGAGGTATCGGCAACTTGGCTGGTCGAGCGGGTGTGCCGGCTTGCAGTCCGACTGGGTATGGTCTGGGTCATCGGTACGACTTGCACGCCACCAACGACCGTCGGGTGCCCCTGCTGAAGCGACACGGTACGGTCGCGCTCTTCTTGTTCGCGGCGGCCGAGCTCCTCCCAAGCGCGGCGAGCTTCCTCTTTGGAAATGAGCAATTCCCGCCGCATCTCGCTCACCAACTTTTGGAGCTTGATATTCTCGGCGTCGCTCTGTGCAGCGACCCGGACAGCGTCGGCTCTGGCTTGTCGTTCGTGTTCCATCTGGGTCTCCAGCACCGCGTTCACCTCTTGGTTCCGTTCCAACTCTGAGCGGGTCTCGAAGAACCACCTCTGGAATTTACGCTCGGAACTGGCACGGAGCCGCTGCAATTCGACCACGGCATGAAAGAGATTGGCGCCAGCCGCCGAGAGGTCGGCAACCTGCCGAGAGAGCTGCGTGCTGATGGGGTTACGTTCGGCCTCGTCTGTGTTTTCTTGGAGCCTCCGGAGCCAGAAGCTGGTCATGCCTTCCCAATGCGCCGAGAGAGCTTCCCACCGCTCAAAGGCATGGGGGAACGTATTCTTAATACGGGTGGAGCCCATGCCCTGGTTTGACGGCTCGCCTGGTTGAACAGGCGCCGATGCATTCATGCCGGGTTGAGGCGTGGCGGCGAGGTTTTGTGGGGGTTGTGCAGTCGCCGGCACTCTAGTTGGGCGCAGAGGTGGCACGGTGGCTGATTGATGGTGCATAGAAGCCGAAGGCATGCCGGCGGAGACTCGGGAGCCCGATTGCGCCTCCTGCGCACGCTGTTGCCGGCGTTGGGTAGCCGGGTCTGTGGGTATGTCGCCGCCTGGAGCAGCGCCAGCAACGGGCTGTCTCTGTTCAGCCGCCCGCCGTTGTGCCTCTTCAAGTAAGCGAGCCTCTTCTTCTGCGCGGGCTCGCTCCATCTGCTCCCTCTCTGCTCGTTGCCTGGCCTCGCGCTCTGCTCGCTCGCGCATGATCATGCGAGGGCCACGGATTACTTGTTGCGGGGATCCAGTCTGAGCCGGAGGTGCAGTTGGCCGGGAAGAGGATGTGATATGGCCATTGGTCGTGGGAGGGCCGCCGCTACCGGCGAGAAGATCCGCCATCGAAGCGTTCTCCTCAACAGGATCGGATGAGAAAGGGTGCGGCTTCCGGAGTGCTTCCTCGAGGGCCCAGAGGATGGCACTCTTGGTATTCTTGGAGAGCCGGACGGCCGGGTGAGGCTGGGGTGTTGTCGAGGAGGGGTATTGCTGGCTGTGTGGGTTGAACGACGACGGGAGAAAGGTCGACGCTTCTTCGGGATCGTCGCTGAGCTCCTGGGAGAGCTGCCGCCGAAAGGAGTGGAATACTTGCTCGGCCGGTCCGGATTGCGCAGGCCCGCCAACTGTCGAGAAGAGCGGCCGGGGGGTAATGCCAACAGTGGCCGCTTCAAGGTGGGCCCGACGTGGTGTAGTATCGAGGGGGCGGGGGCTGGGACTGGGACTGGGGCTGGCTGAGAAGCGGGGGGTCCGGCGGAGAGTCCGTTGGGAAGATGGGGTAGGCGATCTATCTTCCGATCGGGGGCTTGCGGTGTCTTGTCGGCGAGGAAGCGTCCGTCGCTGGCGCTGTTGGACGGGTGTGATCGGGTGGTCGTAGAACTCGCTGGAGATACGAGGGGACGACGCTTCTTGACTGCCAGCAGCAAGGCCTCCCAAAGCACCAGCGGGCGCTGGTGTGGAAGACAAGGCGAACAGTCACCACACGTAGTGGTGACGTGATTTTTGCTGCTACAGCCCGGTGCTGTGTGCGTGGCGAGGTTAGAGAGATGTTGGCGGTGTATGGGATGGGGCGCGGGGAGGTGCAGGGTAGGTCGGGAGCTTGGATGTGCGGAGCAGCCGAAGGACAACTCACTCACCCTGGAAAAAGCTGGGGTTGGTATCTCAAAAGAGGGAAGTTCCGTAATTCCTCAGAGCAAGGAAAGACAGAATGGCGGAAAAGAATGGAAGAATGGAGGGGAAGAGCCTGCTCTCGAGCAATTACACAGGGGCCTCCAAACAACTTGGAAAGGCAAGCTTGGAAGTGGCAGTGGTTGGGCGCTGTGCGAAAATGCGGGAGGCGGGACACGAAAAGTGCGTGGCTGGCAAAGAGACCAAAAATCGCTTCGACGGATAACGTTACGGCGTGCAGGTGGTCCGCAGCGCCAAAAAATCGAAAATAGAATAAGGAGTGACTGGTCGCGCGTATTCAGGGCATCTAGCGCCTGTGATTTTTCAGTTTCGTCGGGTCCTGCGACAAAAAGAGTGAAGCTGTTGGGTGGTAGTCACATCAGCATCTCGCCCCAGATCCGCGTTGTTTGGTTTCGCGATGCTGGCTGCCCGACCGGTTTTCGCGGCCAAAACACTCCCAACTTTCGCTCCATTCGTTGCACTCACCGCTACCTCAGCACCGCGACGGGAACTATTATGCTGTGCAAAATGAAGGACTGTGGAAGCAGAGTTCCTGGCTGCTGGCGCAGGGCATACTCGGGTTCCAATGGCTTAAAACGAGGGTGCAATCCGCCGAAGCTTCAACAGGTTCCTGGAGCTGTTGTTGATTGTTGGGCGACTGGCGAATTTCAAAGATCGGTCAAGAGCTGAGAGATGCCGATGGGTAGCAAAGTTGCAACCGACCAGGGGATGGCGCTAAAGCTTAGCGGGTGCACGGGCCTGAATGTGCTCTGTTGCTGGAGGTAGGTAAGCTGGTGGTTCTTTCCTTGGTGTGTTTGGCATCTGTTGCCGTTTGTTTCTATTCAACAACTAAACGGAACTCACAGAAGCGGTGATGGCTCAATTAAAAACCTGACCAGCAGTACGAGGCTATGGAAGCTGAAAATACCTCCATGAGATGATAAGACGCCCCCAATATAGATGGCTACATATCCCGCCCAAACAAGGGTAAGCCGGGCCCATATGCAAATCAGTTAAGGCCGCACTGATGCACCTCAGCTCCCTCCGACACGGCAAGATGTTTCTCTGGGCTTTCAGAGTGCAGCCTGCTGAAAGGGTATGAATCAGGCTGATGTTCGCATCAAAGACAGAATCTGCAATTCTTCTGTCTATTGAGCCTTGATAGCCTCTAGATCTGCGAATACCAGCACTCTCATTGAGCTCTTTCAATTCACCAAACCCCTGTTGTTTTCTTACACAATTACACAATACCAAGTTTCTTGGCCAGAGGCCCTCTCTTCGCGCCCCAAACAAAGTCATCAGATTGCCGCCATCGTCATCTGAGCGGGCTGAACTTGATCCTTCAGGGAAAAGCGAGGGGGTTGGGCCACTGACGAGGAGGGCTTCATGGAGGGGAAGCTCTGAGTTGGCAGTACATAAAGTGACGAAACAATGGGTCTTGCCCTGCCAATCGCAACTCGGCCTCAGGGACCCAGCTTTCCCGATAGGGCGGTTCTGGCAGGGGTTTCACACCCTCTTCTTGCTGCCCCGGTCGTTGTTGTTTCTCGAGTGTCCTTGAGCCAAAACGAGTCTTGTAACACCCTCTCTCAGCTCCTCAGCTCAACGATGGTTAGACATTGCGTCGCAGCCGCAAAGACCCCGACAATGGCATATACACCGGGGTTGCATTCCCGTGGACTGTGCGATGCCCTACAGTACCTACTGGTTTTCCAATGACGACGATTACACGCAGCCTCGCGCAACCACAACGCACGACAAACCTTTGGCCCAGGAACTCGGCTAAGCGGCTCGGCCCAGGTCGCCGGCCGGAGCCGAGTGTGGGTCCAACCAATCACCGATCCGAGGGCGGTGTTGGCAAAAAGGCGGCATTGTGCGGCCTCCGGTCCGGGAACTACTACGCAAATCCGCCGGCCCGGCTCCGAAAACTTTAGACAAAGGAATGCCATTTTGGAACCCTTGTTCCAAAAGGCAAAGCAAGTGACTACATCGAATTCTTTCTATGTGAAAGAGGCAACTTGAAAAATATCGCTCAAGTATTTGTCTAGGTCACCGTATTTTAGCCAAGGGTCTTAATGCCAAAGGCCTTGCCAATTGTTCCCTTATGGGTCTAAGGCGGCTCTTTTCCGACTTGAGCACGGCAGGAAGTCGAGGAGAAGGGGAGGCCCGGTGGGCACTATTCTTAAAACTGACAGGAGCTCCCGACTTCAAGGGTCTGTGCCTTCACTTCCCTCGGTTGCACCTGCTGTGTAAAAAACTGGAAAGTCAGGCCTCAGTTCTCTCGGCTACCGTTGATCACAACCTGGAAGGACCTCCCTGCCTGGTACCTCTATACCAAGTGTAGATGTAATTTCCCCGTCGAGTTCACGGCCCGAGGTTACAATCCCGAGAACGTGTTCCAAAAGACTCCCGGCTGTGTTGTAAGGATTGCGTTGACTTTCCTCTTCGAGGAACCAATTCCCCGACCCAGCGTTTCGTCCCCCCGACACCAGTAAAGAACGAGCCCCCTGCCAGGGGTGGGAAGATCGCCTTAACGGTTTCGGTTCCAAATTTTCCACGCGGGGAATAGCCCCATTGCTTGAGCAAGGGCCAAAGCGGCTCTGGTTGGGACTCCCAAGTTTCGACCGCTGAGGTTGCGGCGCAGACCCCGGTCACCACGGTGACCATGACCGGGGGAGCGACTCCTTTCCCTTGAACCCTTCACCGGTTGCATCTGCCGAGAACCCCTGCTGAGCTTCTGGTCATGTCTTAGCACATATACCAAGTACATACATAGTAAGAGAACCCAGGGGATCAACATTAGCGCTCAACTGATCCGATGCAACCCCCTATCTGGCTTTGACATATGGGTGGCTTCTCTTTTCCCCAGATAACTGTCCAAACTACAAACCACGGTGATAATCTCCATCCCTTTGCCTTTCATGGAGGCGACTTCCCTCATACTGATTCAGAGAGTGCTTGCTGCAAACCGCACCGAGGGGCAACAGCATGTCTAAGTTCCCTGAAGCCAAACATGCATTCGCAGTAAACCCGCCAGGACCGGTACCTTACAGCGGCTTTCAGGTCTTTGGCATCTTTCTGCTCGTCTTCTCCCCTGCTCTAGCTTTGACGGCCTGTGGCCTCAGGGTGTACAGCAGGCGTTTATCAGCCGGACTGGGACTGGGTGAGCAAGGAAAGACTTGACACGGGTACAGTAGGTTTGCTAATAAGAAATGCAGATGACTGGTTGATCTTCCTAGCTGCTGTATGTTGTCAAGCTTCGTACCACTCAAATCTTTTAGCTAAAAGTTTTATATCTAGGTGCTAGGTGTTCCGCAAGCTGTCTTTGCGACGTTGTGTACGACAACCGAGTTCCGAAGTGCAACCCAACTGAGAATCAGGACGTTGCTAACATGGTTCCCCAGTCTTACGAGCCGGGTGTTGGGGTATCCACGATGCCGACCTCCCACCAAACATCCCGTGGAATCAGGGGGCCTTCTGGGCATACCTAAACCGCGTCTTCTACACCCCTCTTCTCGTCCTGGTGAAGATCTCGGCTTTGCTGTTTCTTCTTAGGCTTGGTGGCACGAAAAGATCTGTTCGTCTCGCCTGCCATGCCCTGATCGGCTTCTTGTTGGCCCAAGTGCTCGCCTTCCTTCCCGCTACAATATTCATGTGCGAGCCGGTCAGTTATGTCTGGCTTGGTACCAGGCATGGTAGTTGCATCCGGGGGGATTACTTTACTGTGGCACTCGCATCCACCAACATACTCACTGACATCATGACCTTGGTGGTTCCCTTCATCGCCTTTCTGAGTATAAAGTTATCCAACAGGATCCGGTTTGCTTTGCTGGGAGTTTTTGCGCTCGGCGCACTGTGAGTTCCGACACGAGCCATCCTTGGGGTATCTTGATTTGGCTAACAAGTCATGGCCCTCCTGTAGTGTCACTGTCACCAGCGTGATTCGCCTGTACTATGTCCTGAGAATGTGGGTTCTCACACCCGAAGACAGGCACTACTCGTTGGGCTACACACTAAACACGGTCGAGGTCAACCTGGCCATCGTCACAGCCACCATTCCGGCCCTCTGGCCACTGGGCCGCTTGTGGTTCCCCGCCATGTTCGAATCGATGGGTATCAATCGGCCCTACCTCTACCCGGACATTGAGGTGGGGTATGTACTGTCACAGTCCCGTGCCAGTCGGCAGGTGGCGAGCAGCGCAGGCGCGGGCGCGGGCGCGGCGGCGAAGCAGGCTCGCCCCGCGCTACGAGGCAAGATACTGTGGCTGCAACGGCCGCGGCAGCCCAGCTTTCTACGCCCCTCCCCTGCCGGCGGCGACGCTGGTATTGGGCTCACGGACATCCGTGACCAGAGGGTGTTCGGTGTCACGACAAGACGGAGGAACCACGCCGACGTGGGGGGTGGAGATGATGAGGATGGCTTTGAGGATTATCACGAAATGATACGGCGGACTGAAGTTAGTCTCGTACACGAAGGGGACGGCGCGTCAACGCTTTGCAACACTACGGAGAGCGAGGGGGCCAGGTCGAATTCCGAGATGAGGGGTGGTTGACGGCGGGCATCCCCCGCCGACAACCGGCAGGCTGCGACAGCGCGCGTATACATTCCTCCCAATTTTTTTTGGCTGTGGTACCAGACCAGATCGGTGGGATATCCGATCCGACGGAATGGGTTCTCTTTTTTTGTTACGGGTAGCATGGCATCTTATGGTAAAGGACGGTCCATGGCCTGGGGGCCTGGGTACACAACTCCGAGCGGGTGATAGGTTACACTAAGCACGGTTCACGGGTGCTTTTTTGGGTCAGCGATACAACGGGTAGGGTCTTTTTGGGTTGCATACAGCTGTGGCGTTTTGTGTCTGGGCTTGTTCTGGGCTGCAGTCTTAATCTCTTTTCTCCGTCTTGCAGCGCGGATCGTACAACACCACAACCAGTGGTAGGGCTAGCTTCGGGTTTTGACAAGGATATAGGGAGTAATTGAGGTGGTGTCGTAGCCGACACTTGTGGCGCTTTCTGGGATGTCGGGTCTGTGTCCGGGAGATTGCTGTGACTGTTGGCTGTGTCCTGATCTTAGCTGCTCTTTCTGGTTGCTTGTGTTCTTTCTGTGTTTCGAATTATACACTCGATCAAACCATCGGAATTATAAGAACACGGCGGGGTGTTTGTAGTTTTGTTGGATTACACAGTAAGTATCTCGTATGGAGTTTGAGCCTCACCCATTCACGGCAACGACATGGGAATAACTAGAGCGGTAGGAAAGGGGTCATGCTTATTGGTAGTGACACTCGAATGGTTGGTTAGGTAGGTACACTTCATATTTTCCGGCCCCCTTCCTACGAATCTCGGGTTCTCTTTCAAACTCCTTGTAGTTCTTCTCTCGCTTCGTTTCTCATTCATTCCATTCGACCATCTCTGCAGCATGCGCCAGACGGGTTTGACTGCCCCGTAGTACTGCATGACTAGGTGAGCACCTGGGGGGGAGCAAACCCGGGACCTACAGCGTAAACTTTGTTTCTCCAAAATTTCAATCAGTCCTGCGTTTTATTGATCACAATGATAACTCAACCTGGGATGAAGCAGCTTCACTATCAATTCCCGGCTTCGCTAGACCCACACCATTCCTGCACTCGACCCGCGTGAAACTCTCGGGCAGTCTACACCAATTACTGAGGCGGTTACTCGATGAGGGAAGGCGGACTGACTTTTCTCTCCAAATCGGAACTCAATTGGAAGCCGCATTTCCAAATCGGATTAGGGCAGAGACAGGCAGACGCAGTTCCGGCAGTTGCAGGCGGGGTCTTGCAGTTCAGCTTGTCCGGGGAAAGAACCCCGGCTCGCCCGACTACTTGGGACCCACTCCCTGTCCCGAAAGACGGGGGAGTGATTGCTTTTGTTTTTTTGCGGGCAACTCATGGTGCCTCTTTCCAACAACGGAAACCAAACAGTATGCGAGATTCCATATGAAAACTTTTGCAAACAAGCAGCGCCAATCATCAAACTCCGGTCCCGGTGCCTTTTTTTTTTTCCTATTTTCTTTCACCATCTTTAGCTTCCCTCGTTCTTTTTTTTTGCGTCTTTCCCTGTTCCTCCTCTATCAACAACTTCGAATGGCAGGGAAAAGCATGTTCCAACGGCTTTCCATCTTTTGCCCCAGTCGCCCTGTTGTGGCTAGTCACACAAGGCCGGCCAGTTCCGATTGGATCGACAGCGAGTCAAGGGACGTCTCTGGCGTTCCCGGGAGATCGACAACGCGGGGTCAAGGGTGCAACAACAACTCGCCAAGGAGGTTCCCAAGTACATGTCTGGTTGCTTCTGGCACTGCAAGGTGACAAACAAGTCTGGACCAACCTTTCTTGGACGCCCTGCGCAATGTCTCGGCCTACCTGTCGGTGGCATTGTCCTGCCCTCTACTTCCTGAATGAAATCTCTTTCACCTGGAGTTGGTTTCAGTAACCCTTCCCTCAACCCCGAGTTAACACAATAGCCACAGGGAGTGATGGATGCCCTTCGCTGCGCCTGCTTGGGACTCCCTGCTTTGCTACGAAACTAAACTTCTAGACCTTTCCTTTGAGAGACCGGGTTCACCCTACCTAGAGCACGCCCTGCGGCCGTGTGCTGGAGAATGGAACCTATGTAGGTACATGCCTACTAAGCTACCTAGGCACCTACCTTACCTATGATTAGGTATGGACACAAACCTCGACGACCTTCACTGCCCGCCTTTCGGTGTCTCCCGGGTCCCGCCGACCGATCAAACTTCTATTATCCAAAGCGTTTCTGCGGTTTATTCTCGGTAACGCATCGACCTCGATGGAGCAACCCTCCGGCACCCTCCGTGGATCTCAAGTATTGCTTTTTGCGGCGACCTTGGGCCCTGTGCTGCCATACGTCATGTGCATCATTTGTGGACTCGGTGGGCTACGGCAAGGCCGAGTCCGAGCGCAGGTCACCGTCTGATGTACATTCTCATGCACTCCGCTAAGAGGAGTGTTTTGCATTTGTGATGGCATACCGGACGGTGGCCCGACGTGTGGCGGAAAGGTGTGTTCGAGTCATCGCCCCCTTGGTCAGCATGACATTGGCATTTTTATTACACGTACAACTTCTCCTTCCATTGAGACATTCCTCGATATCCGACTCCATTCCTTGCGTCTCTGTGGATGTTTATGTTCCTCCCCATCCGATCGCCGATCTCCCTGTGGCGTTTCCCTGCAATATCGCCCCCTGTGTTTACAGCCAGCTCTTGAGGTTGGATGCATGGCTCTAGGATACCTTGACATAATTTAATCCTGATTGCTCCCCACGGGCGCGTTCACACCGTTACAAGGGTTGCAGCAGTTCTACTTCGCCTTCACTTTTGCTTCTTTCTACCACACTTTTCCACATCGAGCTTGTCTGTCCGGCCCCACCACCACTTTATTTTACTTCACCATCATCCCAACTTTTTCGAACCATTATGCTTCAGAAGAAGTCCAAGACGAACACCAACATAGGCACGGGCGAGGTCCAGCGACCGATACCTTGCGTCGCCAACTTTTCCTATCCTCGTACGGACTTGGTTCATTCGTATCGGAAAGAACAGCCAGGTGCTCGCGATTCCCAGGAGTCCGAATCCTCCCCGCCACCGCTGGTAGAAGACCACGGGTCCGACGTCTCTGCAACCGAGGATGACCTTCAACAACCCCCAGCGACGGATGTGAAAATGTGGAAAAAGTGGCGCGCGAAGGACAGGAAGATAGAGGAAGCGGACCGCTGGGCGCGTCCCAACCTTACCGGGTATCAACCACTAGCAAAGCCACTAGATGCCTCACCAACGACACACGGCCCGCCAAGTCCAAGGGGCCAGAGCGGCCAGGAGGATAAACGCGTGGTTGGGCCGTACCCAAAACGACCTCAGGTTCCAAGGCCCCCGCCGAAAGCCTGCTATACACTCTTTCCATCAGCAAGCATCTCTGTGAGACCCGTTCGCGTACCTCTATCGGAACCACCAACAATACCACAGCAGTCTGGACTGCTACCCTCTCCGATTTCTCCCAACTTCCCGTTCCCAGCGCGCTCACAAGGTGGCGTCACCGACGGGAGCAACCAACCAACGACGTCCCGACCTAGCGTCTGGACGACAAAAGCAGCCGGTTCAGTGCATGGCAGTTCCCTCACGGCAGGCTCCTCCGACTCAATACCACTACTTCTCCGGAGTCCTGGCCCTACACCCCCGCATTCGCCTCCCGGCGCATCTTCGTCCTCCGAATCTCCACGATACCCCTTCGAGCCGGAGAAACGCCCGGCCCCAGAGGCCAGCCAACATAACCTGTCTCTGGCTAAAAGGGGAACCCGCTCTTCGCCTTCGTTAGCGAACCTCGCCAGGGCGCAACGCCAGGAGCAGGCGCAAGAACCCCTCCCACCACCACCGCCGACCCCCGCCGACATCTACAACCGTCCGCTCCCGCCGTTGCCCGCCATCCGGTTCCCGTCCCCTCCAAATGTGTCCGTCTTTGAGGACGACACGGACGATGAGGACGAGTCGGGAAAGTCCCGGCCGTCTAGTAGCGAAGCGAGGAACTTTGCGCGCCGGCTCATGCATGGGCTGGTCCATCACAGCAACCCTCCTTCCCCACAAGATAGGCGAGACAAGGGGAAGGGTCTGCTGGTAGACCACAAGCGCAGCGTGAGCGACGAGGGGCCGTCTACGGCCGCGGTATCTCCTTCGGCGGGTGCGGTGCAGGGCCCGGCGAAGGCTCGGGGTAGCGGCGGGGGCGGCAGGAGTGGCATCTCGCGCACGCTGAACGCTGCCGCGAGGTATAGATGGGGAGGGTCCGCCGCTGCGACCGAGGCAGCGCCGGTGCCGGCGCGAGGGGCCGTGAGCATGGATCTGCCGCGGGAGAAATTGAGAGTGGAGGGAAGCCGCGGCCAGTCTCAGCAGGGCGCTGAGGAAGGGGAGAAAGGAGGTCGGTTCTTTGGGCGCCTCCTGCGGCGGAAGGCGTAAGCTGCTGGAGTTTGCCCCCGACCCCCGTTTATTGGCTCTGAGGGCCTGGGATGCTTTGCGCTCTCGTTTATGGCACATGTGGTCTTTTTTCATATTTCTTTTTCTTCTTCTTCTTTTTTTTTTTTTTTTTTTTTTTTTTTTTTTTTTTTTTTTTTCATTCTCCCTGCTTCCTAGGCTGGACTTTTCTTTCTCCTGGAGATTGGGACAGGAACCGCTGGTTGGAAAGGTCTCAGTCACTCAAAATTCTCGTTCTTCCGTTCTCTTTCCATTCTCTCTCCCTACCACCCCCTTTTTTCCACTTTCATTTTGACATTTCCTTTGTTCTTTCTCCCCTCTCTACGCGTTGGCTTACGATCATGGCGGCTAGGAAAATGGGATTGCAATATGATTATGACGGGATGATGCTATCGGTATGAGGTTATGTAATTTGATTCCTTTTTATATCCGGGTTCTGGGTTGGCTGGTTTGTGGGTTTGGAGGGATAGGAGTTATGAATGGGATGGGATATCCCGCGGTTTGGACGGATGGTGCGGCAGGATAGTTGCGTGCGTTACTTCACTTTGGGGCAGTGGGCAGAATGACACCGATCGAATGACCTCTTGTGTACACCTCTCTGTGCTTGTGCTTCTGACCGTGGCAATGCCAAAACAGAGGAATGAAAGAAAGTCTGGTCGAACTCTCAACTCTCAACTCTCAACTCGGTGGGTGGCAGGGTGGGAGGGAGCTTGAGCCTCGAAAAACCGACCTCCCTCGCTCCCAAATTCCCACCGCCCCCGCCCCTCCGCCTACGCGTGTTTGTTTCTTTCGCTGTCTTGCATCATCCCCGCGTCGGTATGTGTTGTGTCTGAGATGGCGGCATCAACTCGGCGGTCGGTGGTTCAGCCCGACCGACCGACCGACCGACCGACCGACTGGCTGACACAAGCAGTCAGTTCCATAACTAGTTGGGCGGGGGTAAGGAGGTAGGTACCTAAGTAAACTCCGAGACTCCTCGGTGAAGTGCGGGGCGGGGATGATGGGCAAATGGTGGGTGGAAAGGGAGGAAGCGAGGGATGGAATGCTTGGCTGGATGGACTATTATAAGCTCAGCTCCAGCTCCAGTTCCCAGCTAGCTCGGTTGTTTACCATGCGGCGATAATGCGGGGGATGGGGACGCATGGATCGACCATGCAGTATGTATGTATGTACTATGTATGCGTGCACTACGTAGGTCTGTGATCGAGAAGGTGAGGGAGAGCGATGAGATCGTGCGTTGATCCGGCGCCGCAGGGCTGGTGCTGGGACATGTCAATGTGAGACAGCATGGCATGATGGATGGCGGGGTGCGAGGTTCGATGAAGCAAGTATCGATCTGGTTGATGTGGCCCAGTTGGAATCATACTGTGTACGCGGTGTGTATAACCCTGTCGTTTTACTTTGATAAAAAGGAATAGGATAAAACAAAATTAGCGTCTTCGATGTAGATGCAGTCTTGGTATTTTTGTACATGATCCCGCCCTTCTCTCCCAAGGTAAACATTAATACCCGGAATCGTTACCTCATACATACAACGTTCAAAACATTACCGCTCGATCCGTAACTCATAACGCCGTAAACCACACAAATTCGCCGTCGCCATGCATAGATGTGAAAAGAAACACAAAATCATGGACCATCCGTCCCAACCGGCCACCATTCATCCCGTCATCCCATGTCATCCAAGCCATGCCACATCATCATTGCCCCCCATCTCTTCACACAAAGGGCCGCCGGATTTGGCTCTTCCTTACTTTCCTCTTCTCCGTAAACCGCCTCACTCTCCTCACCCCCAACTCTCCATCCGCACTGCCAGCAGCGCCCTCTTCAAACCCAAACATCCACCTCGACTGCATGGCGGCAGGCAGGCCCCGTCCCACACCCATCCGCCCCGCCATCTCGCGGCGACTAACACAGCGCTTAAAGGCGGCCTCCTCTCTGATTTCAGCACCGACCAAGTAGCCCAGCACCTCCGCCAGGCAAGTAACCCCATGGGGCATGCGCAGCGCCTTACGCGCGGGCAACAGGGAGGCCAGGGCGGCGACGTACATCAGTAGAAAACCAAGCATGACGCCAAAGGCGGGCATGTTGGCGAACATGCGCACCTCGCCCTCGCCATTGCCCATTGACGTCGTCAGCGCCATGAAGCTGGCACCGCCTAGCACGGGGATCATCACGGACAGAGACCCGGCAAGGGAGACGGCGGCGACACGCCAGTGGCCGTCGCGCAGAGCGCACAAGGTAACCTCGCCCGGCGCACAGGCGGCATAGTCGGCGAGGAGGGAGACTTCGGCCGCGGCGCCGTTGGGGGTGGCAGTGAGGGCGGCCCAGGGTTGGAGGACGCGCAGGTGCATATCGAGGGGCTGGAAGGCGAGAAAGAGGAGAGTGCCGAGCAGGGCGGGCAGGAACGCGAAGAGGAAGTCGGCCGGGGAGAAGGCGCCCGCTTGTGGGGTCGCGCGTAGAGTGGGCGGGAAGCCATCCGGTGAGGCGGGTAGAAGGATGGAATGTGAGGACGAGAATGGCCACGAAAATAGCGCCCGCCGTAAGGGTTGCAAAGAGGAGAGGCGAAGTACGCAGAGCGAAGGGGAGGTACCTGCGGTGGGCGATGGTATTGGTGGGGGAGGCTTCGAGGTCCGCGTCTGCGTCTACCTCGGCTTCAGCGTCGCGGTAGGGCTGCTTCTCGTTGTGGCGCTGCATGCGCTGGCCACCCGCGCGGTCGGCGGTGGGTAGGAGCGAGTTGGCTTCATCCATCGCACTGCCGAGCGTGTGCCAGACACCATGGCGGCCGTCTTTCCAAGTCCAGTAGCACAGCCTGTCGGCGGCGCGGTGGCGCAGAGCGAACCGGATGCCATCACGCCCGCGCGCTAGCTGGGTGCCGCGGTAGTCGTCGGCCGTGTTGGTCTCGGAGACGAGCGCCGCGATGTCGGCGAGGGAGCGAGGGTCCCAGATAAGCCCGGTGTTCTCCAAGCCGGCCCAGTACCGCCAAACGATAATGGTAGAGGCCAACAAGGCCAAGTAGAGTGCCACAAGGGTCCAGGCCACGCCTTGGACGGTAGCCCATACCCAAGTGCCATCCACCAGGATAGGGGTGAAGAGCGAGCTCTGAAGGGGGATCGTAAAGCTCATCAGCCAAGTAACGAGGGTAGGGACCCAAACGTTCCACGGGCCGACCAACCGCGGCCAAAGGAACGACGGGTACAGCTCCTGAAAGAGGGCGCCTTCCCGCTCTTCTTGCGCCTCGGATGCCAGCCTCACAAATGGCAGCATCCGGAACATGGTTGTGACCAGGAACTGCGCATAGAGGAGCACACATGCCCCTATCAGCTGCGGTAGAACACGGAACAGAAAGAACCGCCCGCCGTGTATGGTGGCCCACTCGAGTAGGCCATGGTGGAGATGCGAATAGACGGCGCTCAGGATAAGAGCGCCGATCATGAGTACGCACAGGGTCATGAAAACAAACAAAGCTGGCGCCCGCAGCGGCCACGGTCTGAAGTTTAGGAGGGGCACATCGGCGGCGCTGGTGAGGAGCTCGTCCTTTCCGACGGGTCGCCATTCGTGGGGCTGGGCGGGACGCGGCCCCTTCTTCAGTAGGCTTTCAGCCAGAGAATGGGCCGACTCTCGAGCGCCTGGGATAAAGGGGCGCGGTAGCTGGTGAGGGTCCTCGTCATGCGGATGGGCAACCGCGGGGCGAGATGGTAAAGGGGCGGGGGCAGGGGGTTGTTGATCGGCGGGTCTCGGTTGGTAGGACTCAGGGCGATGGCCCGGGGCAAGGAGAAGACCGGAGGACGAACTCCCACTGCCGGAGGCGTCGATAGAATAGCCGGTGTCCCGGTCCCGGTCCCGGTGGAGCGCCTCAATGGCGTACTGGATAAAAGGGGTGTTGTCGACACCAGGAGTGATGACACCCTCGATCCGGGCCAGGTCGTCCCGGAAGTCGGTCGCCATCGGGGGATTCATTGTGGGCGGGTGGTAGGCGGGCAGAGGGGGTTGGCTGGGAACGCGGCGGTAGGGACCCTCGACGACGACGGGACGCCCATACGATCGGGCGACGATGGGAGGGCCAAATACCCCGGTTTGGCCGTGCACGTCCGCCTCTGATGGGGAGGGAGGTGATGGAGTGTAGGGTTCGGCGGTTTGGTGCGTCTGCTGCGTTTGCGGGTGCTGCTGAGACGACGAATCAGGTCTGAGTCTCAACTGGGACGGATGCTGTAGGTGGTGTTCTAGAAGATAGTTAATGAACAAAGCGAGATTCGAAAAGTAGGGATTCCTTCAAGGCAGCAAACATACGGGGCTGCTCCACATTATCGAACTCGAAGTGGTCCGAATTCTGAGAGTTCTGGGAGTTTTGGGAATTTCGGGAATGGCGAGGGTGAGAGTGAGAGTGGGAGTTCATGCTTCCTTCCTTCCTCCAGACGACGACAGCAGACAAAAACCAGGGCAGGAAGGAACCACACAAACAGGAACCACACAAATCAGGAACCACTCGGCCAATTGCCCAAACAGAATTCAAAACGCAAAACGATGATGCATTGATGATGCAGGAGGATAATGCACCATGCCGAGGATCAAGGAGCGAGGTATTAATTCATGGTGGTCAGATATGGGATATGAGAGGTTGGGCAGACACAGGCTCAAAGCCAGAGTGCGGGTGGTTGGGCGACCAGCCACCGCTTTTTCGCCTTTTTGCCATTTGCATCCGTGAATTGAACCATGGTCTGCTCGCTGGCGGACAACACACCGCTCGGGAAGCAAAATAAAGCTTACCGTCGCATGCGATTGGGATTGGATTATCCTGTCTCGTACTTAACTAATGCAAACTTGAAAGCACTGGGTTTCCACGTCAATTGGTTTGAGGTATGGACTTCATAGACCGAGGTGAGTTGGCGATTGCAGGTTTGGCGTTCAGTTGGAATGGCGGGGAGTGACTGGGGTGTTGGGACCGCCAAGACCCAGATCAGAGTGGACCCGCACCTGCCAGTCTGGGGCCACTCGACCAACAGACCCCTGCATGCCCACGAGCCCACCAAGGTTGTGGGAAGGAAGGTTCAACACCCTGCCGTTTCTCACAGGGCTGAATCGAATTGCTCCACTGCAACCACTGACGGCACAGAGAACCTCCAAGTTGAATTCCATTTTTATAACTTGGACTACTTTACTAACCGTACTCATTCTTGAACCAAACCCTCCAAGCTGGGCAGCCAGACCGAAACCCCCACGCTAAAAGGAGACCCGTCTCCTTGACAACCATATTCCGATACAATCACTAAGGCCGCTAAAGACCCCCGTTGCTGGTAATCATCGCTAGGGCTATCGCCAGTGCCATCATCACCAGAGCCCCCACGAGTGGGCGGCGCCGTCGACGTCCAACCTAGAAAACGATACTGGTCGTTCGCGTACTCCCACCACCTGACCCAGGTCGCGGTACCTACGCAATGGGGGCAGTTGTGGCCCTCGCCCGCTTGTAACCATGCCTTGAAACAGCTGGGACCCCCAGTGTCAGTATTGCATATCTCTGTCAGCAACGCCCCGGGGGCATGAGAGCCCGAGGGGGGGGGGCTGGGCTTACTTGTAGCACGCC